TTTTTTTTTTTTTTTTTTTTTTTTTTTTTTTGAGAGAAGAGGGAAATTATTCCTCTTTAACACCTTGAGGGTTATGTATGGTGATATTTGGTGAGAGTTGGATATTTTTATCATTGTGAATTTTTGTGAAATCGAAAATTTGTTGGACAGTGAAACTGAGTAGAAGTGTGGATGCTGGTAAGTTAATGTCGTGAAAAAGATTTTGAAAAGTTAACAAGATATCTCGGAAAAAATTATTAGGGATAAAATGGGCGAGTTCTTTTATATCCACTTTGTTTTTAAAGATAAAGATTGAAGGCAATTTCTTTTTATGTTTATTATATGTAAAATATTGTATGCAATTGCACGTAAAAATTAAAGAGACGGTAATTTTTTTTTCAAATATTGTTACTCGTCTCGTCAATGAAAAATTAGATTTTTTAAGATTTATGTATATAGATATATTATAAAATTAAAATGTTTAAAGTATTAGTTATTTTATTTTTTTGCTTAAAATGAATTATGCAAAAAAAAAACTTGTTCCTCTTATCGTTCTAAAATTTATTTTTAGTTATGCAAATGTAGATTTTAGCTAGCTGTTTGCAAATTGCAATGATAATCAAAACTATTCGTATCGAAGTTTTTTTTTCCCTATAGAATCAGATATTTTTAAAGTAAATTAATATTTAATCTCATAGCAATTTAATTAATTCTCATAATCCATTATTTAAAGATAAACACGACTAATATCCTTCATAATAATCTAATAAAAAAGAATAAAAAAAAAAAACAATTATATAAAACTGAAATATAACGATATTATTCGTAGATTTTGATTTAAACATTATGAGTTTCAATTTTTACATAAAAATTAATTTTAAAATCGAACTTTGAATCATTCTGTCAATTTCTTTTTTTAACTTTAAAATATATAAAACTAGAAAAATCCACCAATTTTTCCCCTCCCCATAAATTTACTTAAAGAAATTTACAATTTCGTTTTCTCTATTATATTCTCTTAACATTGAAACATCAAAGCATTATTGTAACAATAAAACAGCAAACAAAAAAAAAAAAAAAAATAAAAAAAAAACAAAAATCCACTTATCAAATATTTTCCTCTCACGTTCTTCATTTCTTCACGTTTCTTCAACATCAAATTCATTACCAAGAGATATACATAATTCCACAACTCCTCTCGTTTCTTCTTCATTCAATAATGAATTTCCCTCAACAATTCCAACGGAATAATTTGCACAAACTTTCTTCAAGCGTCGCAAACCACCACCACCACCACCACCACCAATCTTTCATTTATCCCCAATCGTTATCTCTGTCCCTATTGAAAATCACTTTGCACGAACAATAAAACAAAGAATACCAACCTCTCCGCAAAAGCTTCTTCAAATTGTATTCTCTCGAGTTCGTGGCGCGCAAAATTCGCCTTTTAAATCCGCGCTGGGAGGGTGGTGGTCACAAAGGGTGCAAACGAGAAGTTTCGCGTTAATTTCGAGCGCGTTGATACAATTTCACGGCGCATAATCAAGCCGCGGAGGTTGAAAGAATCCTCCTCCTCCTCCCCCTCCCCCGCGAGGAAGAAAGGAATGGAAAAATCGCGCGAGAGGCGAGACAAGATGGAGGGAGAGACGTGCAAGACGTAATTGCGTTGCCAAGAAGTTTTCTCCGGTTGAAGAGGTAACCAAGGAAATAATGAATGGATGCTTTAGTCAGCGCGCGAAGAAAAGGGTGAAAAGGAATAAAAGGTGGAAATAGAGGGGGTTGGTTTGAAGGGAGGA